ATTGCATATGGTACTATAAAATTAAAGCTATTGCAGCTTAAGCCTCAGAATGAGATGGTTTATGCAACTTATCCATATTTGGAGCTAAGCACTTTCACTGCTCAACAATAAATTCAATAATAATCATTATCTAAGAAAATACATATTGAGTCTGGCTACAGTAAAGCAAGTAGGAATGAAATTAAATTAAAAAATCTTTAATAACTGGAACAGACAGAGGGATTTACATTTTGAACAAAATTACACATAAAACAAAAATAAAAATAAAAATTTTAAGCTAGACCAAAATTTTAAGTTCCAGCCAGACTGGACTGATTCAAAAGTATTTGCATTCATTATGGAGTATATATTACCATATAAGGCACTTCAAGCATTATCACATCATTATTATACCCGAAAATTTGCATTCTGCCTACCCGTAGCTCTGCTATCAAACAGACACTCTCTCTCTCTCTCTTCACACCTATCCCCAGTGTCTGGTTTTGGCCATGATGGCCCCTGCCTGACTGCCAGGCCTGCCTGCTGTTGTCACTTTTGGTCAGCAGCAGCTGCTGTTGTTCTTTTCGCCCATTTTCGTTGGGGATTTCTCCGGCTGTAGCTGGGCTGCGTTGTATTTGTTGCTTCAGTTTATGGTTGTGGAACAATGTTACAATGTTAGTGTTGTTTATTTATATTTTAAAAACCTTGCAAATACGCTTAAAGCGTTGCATTGAACGCGCCAAACGGTTCGCCAATTGCCAAATAAATTACGAAATTTACAGGCAGCCCTAGAAGGGGGGCAGCAGGAAAAATATAACCCAACACGAAACGAAGTAACTGAAGTCCCTCGCCAAACAGTTTTCCTGCTGCGAATGGCTGCTGAGTGTTGGCCCATTTGGACACAATCAACGGCAACATTAACGATATCGCCTTCAAAGTGCCGACCCGACCCAAACCCAACCTCAAAACCCAACACCAGACCCAGGCCTGGACCCAGAACCAGACCCAAATCCGCACCTACCCGACCCGGGCAATGGCAGGGCAAACACGCAAGTCCCCTTCAATGACAAACCCCCCCAAAAGTTTTGCAGGTGAAGCAGATGGCCTTTACAGTTTAGTGATGGGAACGACTGGGGATGAGGGGTCGTGAAATAAGGAAAAGCGATGACATTTCAGTACATTTTGACACACACTTTTTTCCATTTGTTTATTTTCAATTGAACTAAATGGCAAGATATTTACGATAGTTTCCATAGAATGTTGACAAAATATTATGACTAGCAAGATACTTTCAAAATTAATAGCATATTACGAAGTATTAAAACAATTTCAATTGCCATATGAATTAAATGCAGTAAGACTGGGATAAGTTTACGGTTTAAATCTTAGTAATTTGTGAGTTTTATAGTGAAATAAAATAAAAGGCAAAACATTACTTAAATAGAATAGAAATAGAATTCAAATATTAAATATTTTAGGTATTTAGATAAAAGTCTTTGTCCAACACTTTTTTTAAGAATTTTTTAAGAGCTAGAAATATTTAAATGAATGCCATATAAAGATAATGATGATCAACAAATAAACGATAGCCTTTTCTTCATATAATTTTATCCAAAAATGTTCTATATCATTTTCCAAGTTAAAAACAAACGATCTAGATTTGCGAACTATGAAGTTCTATTCCATCACGATGTCATCTCTGGCTATAACTTCACCTGGCCCAGACGCAAAGAGTTTCCATGTATTTTGCTTGTTGCGTGTCCACTTTCACTTAGTTTTCATCGGTATGTGTGTGTATGTACAAACGTATATACAAATGTATATATACTAGTGCGTTTGTGAACAGGTGAGTGTGTACCGAGAAATTGCGGTTTGTTTGCCAGGTAATTACATTTTGGCATTTTCTCTGTATGGGTTTACCTCCTCGCACCCCCTGCCAGACCATAAGCGCCAATACACCCCACTCATTCTCTCCATTCTCTGTGTGTGGGCATGTCAGCGTGATAATTATGCGACTATAATCGCACTTTTACATGCCAGTCCCCGTCCCCGTCTCCGGGATGACGATGGAGGGTACCGAAAGGTAGCGACTGGCGTGGAGGCGACAAGGACTCAACTTGGAACTTCGAACTTGGTTGGAAACACTTGAACCTTAAACGAAATATGTCGTCAAGCGGCAAAAGTCAGCAGTGCCAGCTAATTAACTGGTCACAAGGTACAGTACAGACTTTACCCACAACTCGACTCAATTCGACTTAGTCCGACCTCTCCTACTCCACGACACATTCATGCAATATTTAAGGCAAGAGTTGGCCGGGCTTAAACAAAAGCGAAAGGCATGTTTAATCATAAGAGCAAAAACAACATGGAATGGTAGCCATTGCCGTTGCCGTTGCTGTTGCCGTGGCCATTGCCGTGTTGCCAAAGGCTGAAGGTTCGCCTTCGCTCGACTGCAGAGCTAAACAGCAGCCGAGAAGTCGACGCCAACGTTGGTGGCATACAAAAAAAGGGTTAAGTAAATATTGAAGTGAATAAAAACCATGAAAAGGGGAGCCCAGCAAAAAATTGTTAAAAAAGAAAAGAACAAAAAAAAAGAAAGAATATTATTCGCTAGCTCCAGGGGACGAATCGTTAGATACCCTTGCAGATCCAGCGTTCATATTTTGTAGTTTTCCTGATAGTTTTTATTCACACAGTCGACTGTTCGAAATTAAGTATACGAAGTAGCCCCCTTTTGATAAACTTTAGCTGTGCAGAATGATATGTGTAGAAGAATCATACACAAAGGAAGTATTCTCCATACTGCTTGAGTAAAATGCCTAATAGAATTTGTACATTGAAATTCTCGCAGAATGTTAAGTGAATTATCCCACCTATCATTTTATTTGAAACAATTATGAATTCCTTTTTTATGTATCAATTTTTTTGTAAACCAATTTAAAGCTTTGTAATATGTTAATCAATTCTGGCGGCCACAACATATTATTTTCTAGCTATAAAACAAAGATTTTTGCAAAATAGCTTACAAACTAGGCAAACATTTGAATAGAAATAGAAATAGAATTAACGATCATGGCTACATCGTTTAAAGTTGCTGATCGGGAATATATGTAAATACTTTATAAGATCAGAAAGGCATCCATTTCTGTTTTGCAATCATAATACCCTCTGCTGAAGTATTAAAAAAGGATTCCTACATATATAAATATATATGGCAAAGCAAAGTGAAACGAAATGAAACGCATACAGTTAACTACTCTTTTGGGCATGACGCGCGGCTGGGGCGTGGCACACAGAGAAGGCGAACGAGCCAGAGCCAGAGCCGGCGTCAGAGCCTGGCTAGCTGAAGCAGCAGCTACCAATTAATGTCCTTGTTAGGCAGTGGCCTGTAAAATTGGCTTAAAAAATATGTAACCTTATGCGAGAGCGAGCCACAGACACAGAACTTTTTCCACTATATGTGTGGGTGTGGGTGTGTGTGTGTAAGTGAAAGTTTATATCAGATCGAAAGAGAAATAACGATCGTGTGGAGATGTATACAAATGTACAAATAATGTATACAAAAATCAGCTTAAACCAGTAGTTATTGTCATTAAAAATGTTCAGTTGTTGGTTGAATAAAATATATAAAGAGGAAGCATTACGATCGTAAACATACCACACGGGACTGTATTATTTTTTACAAAATTTATAGAAAATATAGAAATATAGAAAACAAATCCGTTCCGTAAGTTTTAAACGAATATAATTTTTTTTAAATTCTTTAACGAATTAATTCGCCGCATAAACTAGATGTACGAATATACATACATAGACATGTATATGCACATACTCGTGTGTGCACATTTTTGTTTGCACGATGGGTGTGATTGTGTGCGCTGGCTGTGGATGGGAGAAATCCTTGCCACGACAATGGCTACAGTTACGTTCCGGTTGGTGTTGCTTTTGGCTTTAAGTGAAATAAAGTTCATTCTGGTTTCTCTTTTTATGCACTCGCGGCTATTATTTAATTTGCGCAGCTGGGCGTATATTGGTGACGGCTTTGACAGGGCTAGCACGAAGGCTTTCGGTATTTCAGAGCTCAGAGCTCAGCCTTCAGTATTTCTGCATTTCAGCGTTTCATTATGGGCCACCTCATGCAATGCCATTGCAAATCATCAGATCCGGACACGGACATGGGGATGGGGATGGAAATGGAGAGACCGAAGAACCCTAGGACCACCGGCTCAAAGCGGTTGCCGGGCACGCAACATTTGACCAATGGGACCAGAGACCAGAGACCAGAGACCAGACAGGGCCCCAAATATCGAATCCGAAATGCAACATTTTTCAGACATCAAAGTTGCCGCAGCGATTTGCAAAAACCAAGAAAGGCCAGAGCAATGCCAGGGATACAACAGCACAAACGATGGAAATGGTATGGGGAATAAACAGGACACATGAGGCGGCTCCTGTCCTGCCCGTCCTCCTGCCTATGCATGGGGTTGCATCCGTCTGGCGAAAAGAGCAACAACCGCAGTCGGACAAGGCTGACTGGGTGAAAGTGCCAGTGAAGCCTCAGTGAAAGTGGGCAGAGAGCAAGGGACGAACGTGGTCAGGGGCTAAAGCTAAAGGCTGCGACGCCATCTAATCTGTAAGCATAAATTCCAATCATTTTGCAAATGGAATGTGCAAACTCAAACCAATAAAACCACAAAACACAACACAGCACATGGCAGAAGAGGGCACAAGAGGGTGCACAAACTACAAACTGCATGCGGTTCCTACGACAGGCCGGGGTCAAGTGAATTTTCGACCAACATTGACTCTGTTTGCCTACACTGGATTTTGCCTTGGAATTCGTAATTGGCGAAATGAATTAGTGAGATTTAAGTCAATAAAAAACGCAAGAAGTATGCAGTTTGTGTTGTTTCCTCGCTATACCAGTGATTTTTTACATTTTCACAACTGAAAGTAGGCCTAGACTATGCCTGCACTATGTATATATTTACCATACTTTATAACTCATTCCAGTACAACACTTGGCAGGATCAACACATAATACAAAACAACACAACACAAGCAAACACACAAAATAAAACAAAAAAACATTAAAAAACAAAACATGCCAACCCGTACATCAGATACTTTTCGAAAATGTCCCCTCGATTATACCAAGGAGCGCAGGTGGGAACAAGACTATTTAAAGGTTCGGATTCAATGTTATTAAATATATTTTGCCATCTTATTAATCGTACAACAATCCACAGGTCAAGTGCGCTGAGCTGGGCTTGGAAAATGAGTATATTTTGTATCAGAGACGACAGAAGACCAGTTATCTGAGGGTTTTCTATCTGCTACATATTCTTGCGACCATTTTTCACTGTACAGTGATACTATTATTTTGCGCTGTGAGTAACATTTGGCTCTTGAGTGGGCATATAGCTAATTGAATTGCTGTGCAGCATGCCCGTCCAATCTTATTCGATGTCGGTGTTTATGTGATCACCGCTGTCCTCATTCTAAGTATACTTAGCATCAATTTCAACGAGGAGTATGTGCTGCGTAAGACTTGGATTTTGTCAGCTACTTCAGTGGCAGCTGCCCTGATTCTGGTACTTGCGGGTAAGCTATTTAGACGATACAATCCTATACTTTATTATTCATCGGCTTCCTGCAGATCTCCTGCAAGGCACGTTTCATTACTACCAGAACGATTGGATGTTGGCCACCTCCTACGATACTTATACCATCCTGATAATCTACATGTTCCTGCCGATACCCTCACTCCTGGGTTCTGTGCTGCTGGCTTCGACGGTGTCCATTCTGTTCATTACGTACTTCATGAAAGTCGTCGCCACGCGATTCCATTACTTCAGTATGGAGAAAATAGATGCGTATAATCAGATTAGTGTGGATATCTTGCACTACATCTGCTTCAACCTACTGGGAATCTTCTTCCGAATTATAAATGACAATGTTGTGCGCTCCTCCTTCTTGAACCGGCGTCAGTACATAATGGAGAAGATCTGGCTGCGCAATGCTCGCATCCAGGAGAAGACGCTACTCGATAGTATTATCCCGCCGCAGATAGCAAAGCCAATTCAGGACGATATAAAAAGCAGGCTTGCCAGAAAGGGTGAACTGAAGCGCTCAAATCACGTCATGGAGCAAATCGTGGCCCTTCAGATCCATCCCGAGGTCAGTATCTTGTATGCGGATGTGGTTAACTATACGCAATTGACGACGACCCTGAATGTGGAGAGGCTTGTGAGGCTGCTGCACGACCTGTACGGAAGGTTCGATTTGGCAGCCAAGCAGTTTCAGGTTCAGCGAATCAAGTTCTTGGGGGACTGCTACTACTGTGTGGCTGGTCTAATGCGCCCCAATCCCGACCACGCCAAGTGCTGCGTGGATCTGGGCCTGTCCATGATCGCGCACATTCAAGAAGTGCGGTAGGTTACACTGCCGCCTATTGAGGTTTGTGGTCTGTATTAATTAACCATTTAAACACCTTGCAGGAGGGAAAACGAAGTGGACATCGATATGCGCATTGGAGTTCATTCGGGCAGTTTAATTGCAGGAGTCATCGGAGAGGCGAAGCTACAGTACGATGTATGGGGTGTGTGGGATAGATCTAGATCTAGATCAGCATTCCTTCAAGATTATCGATTGAAAATACTCTTACCACTTGCAGGAACCGACGTAACCATTGCCAATATGCTAGAGTCCACCGGTGTGCAAGGCTATGTCCACATCAGTGCCAGGACTTTGAACGAATTGGATCAAACTGATCAGTACTCCATATTTCCCGGCACAGATGAAGCTTTGGCCAGTGCCTTTCTGCGGGAAAACAGTATCAAAACCTACTTGCTGACAGGTGAGATAACTTTGGATCCTGACACATACAGATTGGACAGTTGGGGGTCGTTGTCCTTGTCGGCACTTGACATACACGACAGGCCGGAATTGGACGTTCGCAATCAATTGGTTAGTGGCCCCAACAATTCGATCAACGATGAGCTGCGTGAAGAGTTTAAAAATATGCCAGTCAGTGGCATTGCGTAAGTTAATTACGGGAATCGAACTGTGATACGCAACGTGCCATAACTCTCCACTCCATAGACTTGGCCAGTTTGGTTCAGCCTGTTGCGGAAATAAATCTGAGGCTAAGACTGATTCCGATCAGCCCATCCATAATTTATGTCTGCATTTCAACGATCCTGTTTTGGAATGGAAGTACTTGACCCAGCCAGACTACATGTTCAAGTACAGCATGTTGCTGGCCTGGTGCATTGGATGTAGCCTGGTGTACGTTCAGTTGGTGGAGAGCCTCGATCCATGCGACATGTGCATTGTGATTGACTTTTTCGCGTTCATTACCCTGACCGTTTTGCTTGTGATAGCCTGGTACAAAAAGATATGCTGGTGGATGTATGGTCGCAGCGAGAAGATCCTCTATGACAAGTGGAACTGCATGATATTTCGCGCCCACGACAAGATCGTGCGTCACATGACGCTGCGTATTTGTATCTACATATTCATCTTAACCACGTATTTCTCCATCATCGTTATCATAGTGGTGAGTAATAACTAGAGATGGGGAGTCTTGGAGCTACAGGTCCACTTCGATCTATGTATAGCTTAACTGCAATTGGGAAGAGTTCCAAATGATGGACATTGAGAGCAAACTCTATCACTACGAACTGGATCTCAACATGTGCTTTCATCCCTGGGTGGTCACAAATATGGTGGCACTGATCATTAGCATCAGCTTCACATTCGCTCGTATACCGTTCATGGTCAAGACGGTCGTCACTCTCTCGTTGACGACTGTCTATATGGTGATTGTATTTTTCCAGTTCCAGTTCATTTTCCATCATAGTGCTACCATCAATCCATGGTTTCCCTCGGAAAATGCACATGGTATGCGTATTTTAATCACCCTGATCACGATGTACCTGAAGGAGCGGCATTCAGAGTTCAACAATAAGATTGGCTACAAGTGAGTATCTTTTTCGTTTTTCTATGCTCTATCATATTGACGAGTACTTACGGGACACAGATGGAGCGTCGAGTTAAGGAGAAAGCAAGAGGATGCCGATAAAACCAACCAATCCATTTCAATTGTTCTGAACAACATACTTCCCGGTCATGTCGGTGGGTCCCTTGGCTCTGGTACATCTGTTACTGACTTCTCATCGCTTTCTCTCCCCTTTTCCACAGTCAACGTCTACATTACAACTCTAGCCAGGCATGAGCTCTACTATGAGGAGTATAAAATGGTCTCCGTTATGTTTGCCTCGCTGGAGAATATTAAAATGGACCTGAGAAACCTGCGCATGCTGAACGAGATCATCAGGGAGTTTGATAGATTGGTGAGATCTGAGAACTGAGAACTGAGATCTGAGTCCGAGATGTACAATATGAGTCTTTCATTGCAATTTCAGTTGATTCATTATCAGGAGTACTACGTGGTTGAGAAGATCAAGATTGTTGGCGGCACTTATATGGCAGCATGTGGATTGGATGTGAACTATGCCGATCGCATCAACAACCGGTTTGTGAAGCACGATTCACTTTTGGAAGAGGGTAAGACGCGATCCTCGTTCGTATGCACATATGAAATCGGGCTAGATTAATCCCTATCCATCGCGTTTCAGTGGAGCAAGCACAACGCAAACGCAAATCTTCCTGTGTGGGAAAACATGAAGAGCTGCACGAGGAGGTTGTCTTTGTGATGGCCACGTTTGCCTTGGACCTAATGCGCACCCTCTGGACAGTTAAGAAAGCCTACGAAGAACTCAAACTGTATTATGATCGTTCTTTAATATGCGGTGACATGTCCATTGGCATCTCCAGTGGTGAGGTGATGGCCGGAGTCGTTGGCGCCTCTCACCCACATTATGACATCTGGGGGAACCCCGTTAACATGGCTTCCCGGATGTACTCCACCGGCCAGATCGGACACATTCACGTGACCGAGGAAACAGCCATTCTGTTGCGTGAATTTGGCGTTGAGTGCATCTATCGTGGGATGACATTTGTGAAGGGCGCTGGCAAAATTCCCACATACTTTGTTGCCATTGATGATGATTATCACTTTGTGCCCGTGACGCAGTGGAGTCTAACCACCGACCGACGGCAATCGCTTCCTTTATTTTGTGCAGCTGACGCAAACAGTATCAGCTCCAAAGATGATTAATCCGTCAATAGTTATGGCATTATATGTATATGTAGCAGAAAAAAAATCCTCTTACTGTAATAAAATTTACTGCCAGTGAGAATCGACATTTAAACTTCAACGATGTCGCTTGATATTTGTCCGAATTTCCTCCATGCGGAAGTGAAAATCTATTAATTCAAAATGGGAGAATTATTATTAATTAGAATTTATAGCTTAAAATACCAAATAAGCTAGGTTTTTTTATTTATGGATAAAAGTAGATTTAGCCGACGCCGGACCTCTGAGTGAGGTGGCCGCTGGAGAACAGAGGGAAGCAGGATAGCAGTGCGGTGTGGTGATGTTATCTTAATTATGAAATACAAATTGAATTGAAGAAACACAACTCGGCGTCCGCCCATGCAACAGACGCCACCCTATCACGCCCCCTATCCCTCACGTGCTCAACTTCATCGTAGCAAGAGGGATCTGGGCAGAGGTGCCTTACTGGGATCGGTAGGGTTTCTGGTCCCAGCATATTACAACTAAAGTTTAGGGAACCCCAGCGGACTGAGAACTGTACCCTCTTACAAATAATTAACTTTATTTAAATGGGTCCGATGTAGAACTCACCTTTAGCCTTGACCATGTGTCGATTACAAAATCATCTGTGATAGAATTTCTCGGTAAAAATTCCTGTATGACCAGCCGTGAATCCTGTAGAACGAGAAGCTCAAAATGCGCGAGCCATAGATTTTACTTGTGTTAATGAAAATTTATAGAATTTCTCCAAAAGGTTTTTCCCTACAATACATGACAATTTTTTCATTGATAATTCGTTTCACACATATTTATGTATCGGAATAATTGCATTCAGAGTAGGCTTCCAGTTGGCTGTACTTTAACATTTCAATAGTTGTAATACACTTCGAAGCAGTCACGGAATATAAAATAAATACCTTAAAAGCAGAATGCCTCGACTGAGCTTCAATAACGCCATATATCAGATAAACTTAAAAAAAGAGCACCTGTGGGAGCGAAGCTACCTTTTGGTAAATCTTGAAAAGACAGAAATGGTGCACTCTTATATATACTTGGTTATCCATAGGTAAAATGTGCGGAGCTGCATTTGGAGGAGGAATACCGTCTGTATCAGGTACGACTATGGAATAGTTTTTTAGGCGTGTTCTGCCTTCTGCATACCCTCATTACCATCTTGCACTGCACAATGCTGCTCTTAACTTGCCCGGTAAGTCAAGCAAGAATTTATTACTAACTTAAGGCTTACGGTTGAAACTACCATCATCTTTATCCAGCATACCCACTTAATATTAATTGATGTGGGTATATATTTCTTTTCTTCATGTTTTGTTTTAACTATTTTGAGCGTGAATTTCTGTGAGAAGTTTGCTATGCGACACTCGTGGATTACTTATGTGAGCTCCGTGATTGCAGCATTCGTATTGGTAGCTTCTGGTGAGTTAATGTTAATTGATATTCTACCTTCTACTATTATATTATTAATATTATTTATTATTATTTTTACCATCCTGCAGATATCTTTCAGGGCACATATCATTACCACGTACACGATTGGGCATTGGAAACATTTTACGACACTTATATTATTTTTTTGATATACATGTTCATGCCGATACCCGTTATGTCGGGTGCCCTGCTGCTGGGAGTCACAGTGTCCGTTGTGTATATAACCTACTTTGCAGTCTATATTGCCACGGTGTACTATTTCGACATTAGCCGACCCAAAAACTATGGCAGGTTTTCTGTAGATGTATTCGACCACGTGTGCTTCAACCTTCTTGGTATGTTCTTTCGCATAATGAATGATATTGTTGTGCGCTCGTCCTTCCTGGACCGGCATCAGTATATAATGGAGAAGATCTGGCTGCGCAATGCGCGTCGTCAGGAAAAGTTGGTGCTCCATAGTATTATCCCGCCACAGATAGCAAAGCCAATTCAAGACGATATACAAAATAGACTTGCCAGAAAAGAACGCGAACTCGCTGCGATTCGCTCCCCTAGAGTCATGGAGAATATCATGGCCATTCAGATCCATCCCGAAGTCAGTATCTTGTATGCGGATGTGGTTAACTATACACAATTGACGACGACACTTGATGTGGAGAGGCTTGTGAGGCTGCTGCACGAACTATTCGGAAGGTTCGATTTGGCAGCCACACACTTTAATGTTCAGCGAATCAAGTTCTTAGGGGACTGCTACTACTGTGTGGCTGGTCTAATGCGCCCGGATCCCGACCATGCCAAGTGCTGTGTGGATCTAGGTCTGTCCATGATCTCACACATTCAACAAGTGCGGTAAGTTAATCGAGGTTTGTGTATATTTAAATTTTTCAAAATTTTGCAGAAGGGAACATGACGTGGACATCGATATGCGCATTGGAGTTCATTCTGGAAGTGTGATTGCAGGAGTCATCGGCGAAGCTAAGCTACAGTTCGATGTTTGGGGTGCGTTTTACATTTCACAACAGCCTTCCTTCAAGATTATTTATAGAAATTATTCTTTTCCTTGGCAGGAATCGACGTAACCATTGCCAATCGTTTAGAATCCACTGGCTCTGCGGGATATGTCCATATTAGTGCCAGTACTTTGAACGAACTAAATCCTAGCGAATATACGATAATTCCTGGCACCGATTCAGCTTTGGAGGATCCCGTTCTTACCAAAAATAATATCAGCACTTTCCTACTTTCTACTGAATTTTCTCCTTATTCTTCCAAACGTTCCACAGAGAACTTTGATTTACGAACTAACATGGCTATGCGTGGTAGACCAGATTTATACAGTACTAAAGACGATGTGATTAACGAAGAGTTGCGTCAAGAATTTCGAATGATGCCAGTCAGTAGTTTCAAGTGAGTTTCGACTATCTCAGACAAATGATAAAACTTCCATTCACATAATTTCCCACAGACCTGGAAAAATCTTCTCCTGGAGAATACGAGACCAGTCTAATGACCTTCTGTATTCCGAGGTCACCAAATTCTGTCTGGTCTTTCGGGACTCCCAACTTGAGTGCAAGTACTTGCATTCGCCAGACTACATGTTCAAGTACAGCATGTTGCTTGCTTGGAGCATTGGATGCAGCCTGGCCTACATTCAGCTGATGACTGTTAACCCGGACCTACTCCTTATCGCCATAGTGTTGGATGTAGTTGTATTAACTTGTCTGACCATCTTGCTTTTCATAGCTTGGTACAGCAAAATATGCTGGGTTAGGTATGGCACAAATGAGGACAATGAGCATAGATTCAGCAAACTAAGTTGCTGGATATTTCACACCTGTGGGAAGATCCAAAGGAGCTTCAGCCTCCGCATTTTCATATATCTGTTTATCATTTGTGCGTATAATTCCGTGGTCAGCATCATACTGGTAAGTTTCTATTGATAAACTACACATTGACTCTAAAGGAGAGCTTTTTTATAGATGGGATGTAATCGCAATGAGTTCGAAATTATGCACATCGAGAGTAAACTATATCATTATGATGTTGATACTGATATGTGTTTTCATCCCTGGGTAATTACAAATGTGGTGGCTCTTATTATTGCAATGAGCTTTGCGTTCACTAGTATTCCGTTCATCTTGAAAATAATTGTCTGTTTGTTGATGACGATGATCCATCTAGTGATTATATTTTTCCAGTTCGAGTTTATTTTCCATCACAGTGCTACCACAAGTCCCTTTTTTCCGGCAGAATATGCGCATAGTTTGCTTTTAGTCATTACTTTTGTTACCTTGTATTTGAAGGAGCGACACGCGGAGTTCACAAACAAAGTCAACTTCAAGTGAGTAACTCTATATACAGGCAGGTTCCAATTTTCACTTAAATATGCGTTTTTCATTTTTAACGCTTTTCGTATTTTCGTGCTCCGGTTTTCGCAATTTAGACAATTTAGTGTATTACGCCCACAAAAGACTCTGTTATGTGTAACAGAGATTTTATTGCGGTGTATCGGGCTGCGATAGCAGTAGCACCAAAAAGCAAAGTTTTGTTGCATCAACCAATTATTTCAAAACAAAATTTTAGTTTGGGTTAAAAATAATTTTTCTTTAAAATACGTAAAAAAATGGTGAAACCCGAAGCCTGCCTGATTATGTAATTTATTTATAATATAGGGTATTTAAATTAACTTAGTTGGCGCATGGAGTTGAGAAAAAAGCAACGTGATGCCGACATAACTAATAACACGATTACAATTCTCCTGAATAACATACTTCCTGTTCATGTTGGTGAGTTTTTGGATCAGGCAACAAAACATGTAACAAAATCCTCTGTACACGCCTCTCTTCCTCAGTTAACGTTTACTTTACATCTCTCGGTAACCATGAGCTCTACTATGAGGAATATAAACTAGTATCTGTTATGTTTGCCACTATAAGAAATTTCGAAATGAGCCTGAGAAACTTGCGCCGACTGAACGAGATCATCACGGAGTTTGATAGATTGGTTAGCTATGATAGGTTTTGATCAATTTGGGGCTTTAAAAAAGAAAACTTTTTTTTTCAAAAGCCTTTTTTTATTGAGTATTTTATTTTTTTTGTTTTGGAGTTAAGGGGTGTGACATAACTTACAACCATACCAAAATACATTTTTCTCGGGATATTTATATATATATTTTTATTTTTAGCATAAAAATCAGGAAAAGTCGTAAAAAGTATATCCTGTGTTTTTATATTACTATCATTGAAGGTAGGTATCGTTCGATAAAAAAAAAAGATAAGATAATATTCTTCATTCTAAAGCTTTTAAAGACGGTGAGCTGAAGCTTTAAAAGGTTCAGGTCCTATTTATAGCTGCATTTATCAGTTTTTCTCAATGTCAAATGTCAAATGAATGAACATTCATTACAAACAGATGTATGATAAAGTTGTGTGAACAAAAAATTATAAAAAATATAATATTTCCAACAGAAAAAAAAATTATTCATTAAAAAGTTTTAAAGCCCCAAATCTATAAGATAGTGTCCGTTTGGTTAGTTAGGCAAAAAAAGTTCGACTTTGATGAATAGTGTTATTGGTTCACTTTTAGTTGCTTCACTACAAAGATACATTCTTGGTGGAGAAGATAAAAATTGTTGGCTGCACATATATGGCAGCATGTGGATTGGATTTGAACTTTGCCGGTCGCATCAGCATAGAATCGGACAAACTGGAGGCAACCCATCGAGACTCGCTAATGGAAGAAGGTTTGTTGTAATCAAGGTGCAATCGGATAACGTAGATTAGTATATATTTATTGCCTTTTAGTGGAGCAGGCTCTGATGATTCGCAGAGCCTCTTCTTTAGTATCAGATCAAAGTTTGAAGGAAGATCTGCACGAAGAGGTCGTCTTTGTGATGACTACGTTTGCCCTGGACCTAATGCGAACTCTTTGGATGCTCAACAAAGCCTATGAAACTGTATCTTATGATAAGACCATCATCAGCACCGACATGTCCATTGGTATCTCCAGTGGTGAGCTGATGGCCGGAGTCGTTGGCGCCTCTCAACCACATTATGACATCTGGGGGACCCCTGTTAATATGGCATCCCGTATGGACTCCACCGGCATGATCGGACACATCCAAGTGACCAAGGAAACAGCTATTCTGTTGCGTGAATTTGGCATTAGGTGCCACTATCGTGGCAAGACCTTTGTAAAAGGCACTGGTAAAATTCCAACATACTTTGTTGCCATTAATGATAATTATGACTTTATCACCATCGATGGTAAGCGAAAACCAACGCGTCAATATCAGGAAGCGCAATCATTTCAGTCTGACAAGGAATCAGTAGCTACCGTTTTGGGTTATGCTGACGACGATATGAACGAAGAGACTGTTTAGACCCTTGAAGTAAAATATCAACGTTGGTTGAATTGAAAATTGTAACTTAGTTTGTTTTAAAAATCCAAGACTAATGTAGCATTGTAATCTTAATAAAACATTCTGTTAGCAACGGAGTGGATAAATATTTACGGCGCGGGAAATTAGAGTGAAGGCATGCATACGGAAATGGTTTTTTGTGTTCACTTTTATTTATCTGCTTGCATCGGAATGGTCGAAAACTTACATTAGTAAGGATCGGTTTTAGGTACAGACATATGTAAGTGAGCGTTAGGACGACCCAACGTGAGCGGAAACGTTGTGAGACAAGGCAAGGGCCGAGGCTCTACTTTTATCGCAGATGCTCCATTAGTGTTAATGAACATATGTAATCGTTTGATTTGTGTAACCTAACCTAACGGGCCGTTGTGCTTTAGAGTCGAGGACTGCCACATTCTCTCTCTCTCTCACTCTCTCTGACTTTTTGGTATCGCTATTCGCAGAAGGAAAAGATTTATTTGTTTTTTGTTGAGCGGAGGGTATGAAAGATACTTCTGATGAATATGCTTTAGAAGGAAGATCATTTTGATTAAAGATACTTCTTATGGAAGATACTTCTGATGAAAGATACTTCTGATGTAAGATACTTCTGATGGAAGATACTTCTGATGAAAGATAATTTTGATAGAAGATATTTTTGATGGAAGATACTTCTGATAGACGATACATCTGATAAACGATACTTCTGATAGACGATACCTTTGATGGAAGATAATCCTGATAGAAGATACTTCTGATGAAAAATACTTCTGATTAAAAATACTTCTGATGAAAGATACTTCTGAGAAACGACAAATTTGATAAGCGATAATCATGTTTTATTATCTTCCGATTGGCTTATGATTATGTGTATTTACATATGTGTGGATTGATGTGTAGTGTGAGTGAAGCTCGCGAAACTCTGGCATCGACTGACGCTGACTCTCGCTTGCTTAACCTCACAAACCTCCTGCTCTAATCGATCTCTCTCCTTGGCTCAAAAAGGGCGTTACTCACTTCGAGTCGCTCTCTGCACTGCTGGCCTTATCCCTATTTTTACATTCGGCCCTCCTGACGCTGGATTCGCCCCGAATTCCTTCATGTACTCTGTCACACTCGAAGTCTTACAGTCTCCTCCATCTTCGACCTTGTCAACGTCATACCTTACATGCTTATGGACTTTCACCACATTGTAGGGTCCTAAATAATTTCTCTTATATTTAAGCCCCACCCCGTACTGTGTACGCTTAATCGCTACTAAATCATTAGCCTGATACTCCTTTTCTAGCTTTCTTTTCTTATTGAATGCTAATAGATTCTCCTCCTGCAAAACTTTTATGTTCTCTCTAGCCTCTCTGCGTATCTGCTCACGCTCTTCATCCAATTCATCAACTAATGATTGATTCACCAGCTCTTTTAGTTCCGAAATATCTCAACATCGTATGCATCAACACCTGTCAAAATCTTAAACGGTGATCTTCGTACTCCTCGGCTCAAAATTTTTGATTAACTGCTGCACTTTAGCTACATGCCTATATCAAGAACCTGGACTATCTCCACTTAACTTTGACAACATAGGAACTACGATCCTGTGCAATTCGCTTCACGTGCCCATTACCTCGTGGCACACCTTTAGTAATCATCAAATGTCGTATACTCTGTCGTGAACAATACTCTCTAAACGCATTCGCCGTGAAAGCGGCTCCTCTATCTGATAAAATTCTACATTGATTACCGAAATTGATGGCTTGCTTTTCCAAAAAGTTTTTGTACTACGCGTTGGGTATAACCACACATACTTTGAGAACCCATCAACAACAACAAGAATATGGTTATAGCGCTTTTTGGTGATCTCCATTGGACCTACATGTTCTATGAGGAATGTCACTAACGGTCTATCGCCCTTATCTGTCGGTGTCAAGTACCCTTCTTGCTTTCCAGTTATCGCATTTACCAATATACATCCTACGCAACTTTTCACAATTCGACATACTTTCTCTTTCAAATTTGGTATGAAATACGACTTTTCCAATAACTCCTGAGTCTTCTTTGCAGAAAAATATCCCTGACTATCAGCAATTTGCATTTTTTCTCTCTCCATTTTGGGATACTACTACGATCAGTTCTCTATCTGGGTCTTTGAAAAAAATGTGGTTAGCAATGTAATAGTCTTCATACTTCATGTCTTCAACAATGCTTATAAATACTTTTGTCCAGTCAGCCACCAATTGCGCCTCATTGTACATATGCATCACACTATCTGTCAATACGTAACACTTAATGCATCTACATATGATCCTTATATTCGATCCTGACCTATGCTCTATATCAAAATCAAAGTCCTGTAGGAACATCGCCCATCTCGCCACTCTCAACGGTACCTCTTTCTTCTTCATCGTCGTAGCGAACGCATTACAATCAGTGATGATTTTATCCGTTCTTTGGTGACTTTTATGTCAATGTCTTTTAAAATTTTCCTGCCCAAAATCGCTTCAAAAGCTATGTCTTCATCCGACACAACATTGGACTCTACCTTCATTTCGCTTCCATCGATCTTTACAGGAATTACTACACTTCCAAATGTGATGACCTCTTGTGTCTACAAGACCTTTGAACGTACCTTTCGAGTGTACCACATTCTTTAACTCTAGCCCGGAAGAAGTAAATATACCTGATGGTTTTGTTACAATCTTCCCTTGCACTAAGTTTGCTCTTTCCTGCTTTACCTGTCCTTCAACCCTGCAGGCAGCGGCCTTATGCCCAAGTTGGTTACCATCTTTGCTGATCCATCTACCAATTGCTTAGTCTGCAGCTGATTCCCCTCTTCCGTTAGTGCACATTTTTTAAGCTCAATTATCCACTGACTAACATCCAAGCTATTTGAACCTGAAAACTCTGAAACGCTACCTTCAACATCCTTTAGCGTGAACCACGATCTAGCTGAAACTGTAGCATCCATTTCTCTGCGACCAATTCCTGCCACTCTGTTTTCTATTTCTGCATTTTGAACTTGCTGCGGTTCTTTTGTCCTGAATGATTGTTCTTGTTTATCCCCATCACTCTCATTTACCTCCACTCGAAGATCATAGTGATTAAGAAGCCTGTTTTGTAAATCTACCTTTCTACCAACCGTCTCCAATCTAAGCTCGTTCAACTTAAGCCTCAAGTCCGCAACTAGCAGTGCAAGAATCTCGTCTTTTCTCATCTTGTACAATTTATGTTCTAGAATGTAATATGTAATAAGATAGGAAAATGTGTGGTATCATAATACAGTAAAGAATATAAAAATAAAAATATTAATTCTAATTCCTCTCAAACTTTGGCACTCCAGTTTGTTTATTTTACTTGGCCGGTTACAATGGCTCTCAAACAATGCCAATTTTTTAATCTCAATTAATTTTAGCTTATCCAATTTCGATAAATTCCAAACTTTGCCGCTGTCAGTTAATTTATTTTCTCCAATTACAATTGCTCTAAAACTCTTCTAATTACAGTTTATTATTACTTTCCAACTACAACTGCTCTAAAACTCTTCCAATTACAGTGTATTCTTTTTTCCAATTACAATTTCTCTAAAACTCTTCCAATTTCAATTTCTTAAAACTCTGTTAATTGCAATGGCTCTCAAACATTACTCGATTCTTATCAAAGTAATCACATACTTTTCAAACTGAACTGCTACTCAAACCTTTTTCCTAAAACTCGTTCGTTCTTGTTTGACTCAATGTTGCTCCTTTCAGCTTCCCCTTCGATCAATACTTATGTATATGGATCCTCTCGTTTAACACAGACAATTTCCGTCACTCACCAGAATTTGCAACTGTACTTTGCAACTCGCTTCTGCTACCCGGCCTTACCGCCTCCCAATGCTTGATCACTCCAAGATCTGTCGCTGTCGTTCTGCTTCACGGCTCTCTTTTCCAGTTATACAGTACACTCCAGCCAGTTGCTTACTGTTTCTGCGCGTCGCTTCTGAATTTCACAGTTCCACAAAATTGTCGAAAATTCTTTTGATGCTCCGTTTTTGTCTGTCGCTTTCCAACAATTGTCTATTACACTCTTGACTTGGTACATGCAATTTTGCAACTTATTACCCGAACTCCACCACAACACAACACAATTGACTACAATTACGACACTTTTTTTGGTGTTTTTAGACATGTTTAATCAAAATTCTAATCCCGGTTGAGCCCCCAAATGTGTGGCCCAGGGAGCATTATGTGGAACAAGACTATACAATTCGCCCCACGGACAGAGGGAGCGCGCGGGGTTTCAATTTTCTTTTCGGCTTTTCGAGCCCGCTGTCCGACAGCTTCGTCTGTTCGTAAGAAACGAGCCGAGCGAGCTCGAGACCGCTCAGCAGATGCGCACAGTGGGCCCAGCTTGATAAATTATAAAGTGAAAAAGGGTTCAATACATTTTTGTACATGTCATTTTCATATCATATCTCTGCTCATATCTCCTAAACTGAAATTATCTTGAAGATTAGATTCGATAGAGCTCTGGAAAATGTTCTACTAGATGTGTACATTTATTTTATTCTAGGTCGATTTGGGTTTTAAACTTTAAAATTTAAAGTTTCAATATTATTTGAAAAAAACCGACGAATTAAATTTTTTTTAATGTATATTTACTTAAACATTTTTATTTTCTTTTCGTGGTAGCAACAACCAAACATTAAACTAAAAATTCGAAAAAACTGTATATTTTTATTGAATAACAAAGAATAGAATTGGGGGGTGTCCCTTTGAAAAAACAAAAAATTAATTTTTTGGTCAAATTTTGGCCCAGCCTAATGGATATGTATGTATGTATAGGACGAGGTATGGGTGGGTCTCGGGAGGTTTTATTTTCGGGCGAACCTCCAGTGTCTAGCAACGACAAGGACAACGATGGGGACGACGACGATGACGGCAAAGTTTTAGTAAATGAAAATAATTTTCAGTTGGAAAATTATTTAAAGTACTTCATTAAGTGGGTAACATTATTTCTTCTCTTTTTTTCCACAGTTTTTTCCCTGTGCTATTTGATGGGGGATAAGGTTTGCAACTATTTATAAACTATTTCTGCCAATTTTTTGTGCACGCTGTATGTGATT